AGGGGTTGAGGGGTTTAGGGTTTCTCCGGGGGATACATGTGGTGGGGTTTGTGTTGTGCTGTTGGTCTCATTGAGCGGGTCTGTTTCCGCAGGCACATCGGTTACATTCACACACCTAAGCCCTTAAACCTAGTCCCCCAAACACACCAGCTTCTGCTAAGGCTATGGGATTGGATTTCAATAGGGTTTAGGATTTAGGGTCTAGGGTTTAGGGCCGAAAGTTTAGGGTTCACTGTTTAGGGTTGCTATGGGATTTCAATAAGCCGGGGGGATGACGTTCCAAAAGCCGGCGGTTTAGAGTTTACAAGCATTAGCGATCCCTTTTTGTTGCTTCAAATAATGAAACATCAAATCGATCAAAGAAGTTGGAAAATGACATGGAAGCTGGGATTATGTAACGGGTTGTAGCAGGTATTTAGGGGTTTCCATAGACCGGGGGTTCAATATGTAATCCTTTTTACATGTACTCCCAAAAGGAGGGCCGATTATCATTAGTAGGAATCCCAATAGACTTCTCATGTACGACCCCTGTTCACGTCCCGGGATGCTGCAGCGGACCAGTACGAACCCACACCCTATACTTACCCTACACCCCACACTCTAAACACCCAAGCCTAAAATCTTAACCCTAAAGCCTAAACCCTAAACCCCGAATCCTAGACATCGTGAACCCTGCCGGCTCGGGGTAGTAGTAGCACACCCGGCACAGGGCCTGGCTACCTCCAGATCTTCCACCAGGAAGAAGGACACTCCCTGGTTTTGGAGTTTTTGGGTTAGGGTTGAGGTAGTAGAGCTCCATCGTAATCATCTCCCGGCCCCCACCCACTCTCAAGAATCTATCTTCACAATATAGTACCCAAGGACAGCTTGATGCTACCCTAAACCCTAAACCTTCAACCCCTAAACCCTAAACCTTCAACCCCTAAACCCTAAACCTTCAACCCCGTAATCCTATCTAATCCTACGTTTTTGCTTAAGGGGATGGGGCGCTTCGTCGTACTGGGGGAAGGTGAGGATGAGCCCTCGACCTCCTTGTGTGAGTCTTGTAACTATGTGAGCTATGGTCTAAACTCCCCAAAAGGGGGTTATGTGGGGGATTCTATAGGGGAGTAGTATGGGGGTGATTAATGGGGGATACTAGGAGCTTAGATTATAGCTCATCTAGTCGCCCAGAACTATGGGGCAAAGAGGGGCTAGTAAACAAGTAATTGCTAGTCATGGATCCTTGTGGTTAAGACGTGCTTGTTGAAGATTGTGTAGGATTGAAGTAGACAGGACTGATTCCTGTTCCTTTGGCTTCTGTCCATTGTGGCCAGTGCTCAGAAAGGCTTTGAGCACAGTTAGAAGCAGGAAGGGTGCGAACCCTTCGATTGAATCAGTTTCAGTCTATGCTAAGAGGCGGCCCTCCACTAGCATCAGCAAATCCGCATTGTGGCACTAGCAGGGCGCCAGCCTGGCGCTAACATTTGTGCCATAGGCTAACTCACCGATCTTACAACATGTAGCGATGATAATTTGCTGGCCTTCTATTTTAAACACAATGCGGCCTACAACCCAAACGCCTCCTGCAACCCAATTTGAATAATTAGCTCCTCACACCAACCCATATTAGTTTTATGTACACACATGGTGCTTTGGGATCCCCAATATGATGTCAACCGTGGGGAACTTGAGCCCAAGCTACTATCAAGTTCGGGTCATTTCGCTGTGCCCTTCGCCTGCGCGCTGTCTTCCAGCACTGAAGAAGAAATCTCCTCTTCGGCGGATCCTGAGCTTTAAGTCAGCGAACGCAGGAGCACGACGAGACGGAAGATGATTATGAAAAGGTTGAAAGCGTGGTGCACTTCCAGCTAGATGAGGCCTGCGACTCTTCAGAGATCATGTCAGTCAAAATTCAAGGGCTTAGGCTGAAAAGCTGTGGTGTATTCGGTATTCAGACTGAGCATGTGTGGTGTACGTGCCCTGAAAGTGCTTGTTCTAGCAAGGCATGGTACTGGTAGTATGGCAGCAAAGCCGGTAGGCAGGCCTGAAAGTCTCGGACTATCCAGCGCTTCATGTTGGCAATGGTCGGTTTTTAGGGTGGTCCGTTCTAAGCCGTAAATCGTCTGTAGCAAGGAGCACGGCAAAGGTTCAGGAAATTGCTCTACGACGTGATCATCTGATCGTGAGATTTGTCTTTGGCTGGCAGGAGCAAAAAAGTTGTTGATGTGGTAGCAGTCAGCATCCGTATAACAAAAGTAGCACCAACCCTTCCCCTACGCCACTTCAAGCCCTGAAAGGTAAGCGATGGCGCAGACGGCAGACGAACTCCCCGGGACTCGCCGGTGCGGTCCTGCACTAGCGGCAGGAGCCGGGCGGCCTCGCGGTGGCAGAGAGAGGGATCTGTGAGCTCTAAAACGTACGGCCATGGTCTATGACAACACCAACAGGCGGAAGATTGAGCACTCTGATGTCTGGCTAGGTGTGAATGCGCGCCATAGTGTGCTAGATTCAGCAGTTTGATAGTAGGACACATGCAAGGCAATAGTTGGGTCTTCTAGCTTTACATGTGGTAGTTTTCCAAAAGACTATAGACACTCAAGTATTGTAATCATTATTACGTATATTGGCCCCCCAAGAAGGCAGATAGTGCAATGCCAGAATGGACTTCAGTATACAACGCACAGCAGACCGGCTGAACCCGGAGCTACTAACCCAGACGCCAAGCCCAAAGGGTTTTGGCTTTAGGGTATAGGCTTTAGGATTCAGGGTTTAGAGTATAGGGTTTAGGGTTTAGCCCTGATCTCAGAGCTTGAATGCGACCTTATCCTAACAGATCAGTGCCTGAAGAGTGATGGCCGCATGGATCCTAGGCCCAAAGAAGGTAAAGCCCAAACCAGAAATTCCGTGAATGCCAGACCCCAGTGCCGAACCCTAAGCACCCAACCCATGATGCTTGACCTCTCTTTTCACACTGGCTCGTTCAAAAACTTCGTTAGTCTCAGTCCATAATTCACAGGCACATTATCCAAAAAAACATGGAACGAACACCCAACTGAGAATTTCAAAAAACGCCAAGCCCCATCTCGAAGCTACACGCATCACCTGAGCCAGCACGCGGATTTCTCCCAACTTCATGTAGCAGTTATCAGGGTTCTGTGCAGCATTCATTCTGAGGAATCCCCTTCTGCAGCGGTCCTCAGTTCATGTTCTGGTTCGGAGCCCTGAGATGGCACTTAGTCTCCAGGTATATTACAACAATACATACCCAGTAATTCTACGTCATTGCTTACCTCGGAGAATCCCCGAAAACGAAACAGCCTCCCCAATGATTCAATGCCGGCCAATGGCTCTCCAAGCTTTTATCTCCTGGGTTGCTGTTTAGCGACTTAAAATAAGTTACCACAGTATATATATAATAAAGAATATGGTTCCCCAATATAGTAACTTAGATTAAGTTCCTTAAATCCTTACATTCACAGGTTCCATTTAACTTTCCATGTTCTTTTCCGTGTGGTTCTCAATTACAGGGGGATACTATACCCTAAGCCCTAAACCCTAAACCCTAAAACCCTAAACCCCTAAACCCTAAACCCCAGTCTAAGATCCCTAACAGCAACCCAGTCTCAGGTTCCGGCCATCCCACCGGGCGACAGAGAGCTGCCTCGGGATGAGTTGCTGCTCCCAGTCATCCGCAAAGGCACCCATGTGGCCTTTGGTTTGCTGGGTTTAGGGTTTAGGGTGGGTTTGGAAGGAATGGAAAAGAAAATGGAAACCACTAAACAGGGTTATATAGGGACTACTATAAGGATCCATTCCTTCATGCCTAGCTCACCAAAGGCCAGCCATCTGGACGGTGCTTAGGGGTACCTGGAAACGTTGCTTCAAAAAAAAAACTGCTTATTATAGTCATTATAACTCTAAGAAACAGCAAGAATTACCCTAGGTCCAAGGTCAGCAGGGGGTGGTTGTGGGGACTTCGGGAGTTTCCGTGTTTGGGCGTTTGGGCATTGAGAGTTTCTTGGCGTTCAAGGCCTGTTGACCACGGAGGGTTTGAGCAGTTTTGGGCTTATGGTGGTTGGATGTACAGCTTGGGTTTCTGGTGTAGGGAATCATGTTGAGATTGGGGTTATACAAGGGAACATGGGAACACATCTCATATATATATATACACATGTATATATAGGGTTTATATAGACATTATAGAATATTCCCTTCTTCCCTACTAAGAACCAAGAAGTTACTCTGGACGACATATCGGTTCGAGTGTCCACAGGTCAATTAAGATGGAGAACCTTACAGTTTTGGCAGTAACATTGGCAGGCTCCACGTCACCTGTTGACAAGAGACTGAGCAGCCGCGATGCGCCCAAATTCGGGCAAAGGCTGGAGCTCTGCAGTTCGGCGGGGGTTTGCGCTCATTGGTCAGGTTTAGCTTCAGTTTTTTATAAAGAAAGGGCGGGAGACTTGTTTTTGCTATGTGCAAAGCCAAAGGATCTGGGAGGTGGCGTATGTTAGACCGTGGTCATTCTGTTGATGCACAAGATACTTAAGGTCATGCATGCTTTTGTTCATCAAGCGCCGAACACGCATAGACATCCCTCAAAACAACACTCACGGACAGCACAACAATGTTCGAAACAACTTTTGGCAGAAGAGAGCCCCGTTGTTGAAAGCGCTTCTTGAGAGGTCCATGCCGTTGACGCTAAGTCCTGAACTGCAAATCCTGCACCCCAAAATTCAAAACACAACCTAACAAGCCAAAATCCTTGCGAGAATTGTGAAGCACGCAAGAAGCCAAACAAACCCCAAGCCCGTAAACAGCCAGAATTCCACAGCCCTTGAACCCCTAGGCTCTTAACCCTTACAGTAGTCAGTTAGTAGTTTCCAGAAATAAGGGGCCCCCCATACAGATCTCAATATGTTTCAGCCCTCGTTATGAGGACCTGAGGACCCCCCAAAACGGACCCGAAATTTGAGGAAACCCTAAACCCTGTATATCCTTATAAATATAACCCTACATACCTCCCGTAGCCCCCTTCCCCTAATTAGCTCCGAGACTTCCTGCAGGTTCATCACGACGGGCCAGGAGTCAGAGCCTGACACCGTGGCCTTCGAGATCATAGGACGGCCTACACTCAGTTTGCCCTTTCTGTGTTTTGGGGAATATACCCAGACCCCCCAAAAATATCTAAAAATCAGATCCCCTAGAACCATAGGGGAAGTTGTAGAAGGATTATATAGGGGTTATACTGGGTCTATATAAGGGATCTAATTTTTAGATCCTCCCAGGGGTCTGGGTAGAGTTCGTGGTTATAGGGTTGAGGCTCTAGGGGCGGCGGGAGTAGAAGAACAAGAGGTAGAAGTAAAATGAGGCAGAGCAGCAGCAGGTGGTGGTAGTCTTGTAAGCAGGCTATGGGTTTAGGGTTTAGGGTTTAGGGACCCTATAAGCCGTAAGCCAAGCTGAGACCGCAAGATCAGCACTGCAGCTGTAGACATCCTTTTTAAATCGAAGCGGCCAAAAATGTACCAACAATGAAGACTCAAATGCAAAAGACAAGTGGAAAAAAACAACATGACGTGGAAACCGTCATTTAGGATTTCAGGATACTACCCCAATAGTGAAGAATCAAACGAGAAAGAAGAGAGAACATGACATGGAAACTGGAGCTTTACAGGGGAACCCTAATCCCTGACGCCGCAGCCCCGCCAACCACGGGTGTTCCCTTAAGAAACACAGTTAGTGCATTTTGGGACAATTAACAAGTTCCCCTATTGTTGTACCGGGGACCCTTTTCATGAATAAATTCGGGGCTCTGGAAAGTACCACCCAGACAAGCATTTCAACATCCCCTCTTTGTGCGCCAGATGGTAAGTATTTTCAGATTGGAGGGGCGACACGGCTCCTAATTTTGAGAATTCGGGTTGAGGGTCAAGGGCTTTGAGAATGGCCCCTAGGGCAAGAGCACTTAAGACCTATGGACCCGAAACCACCAACCCTGAGATCCTGAACCACGAGCCGGAAAACTGATTATTATGGGCATCCACCTTGAGCACCAGTACTTAGAGGTTCAGGGCAACTGCAACTCAATAAAAACTCGTTCTTAGAACCCGGCTACAACCCTATGGAGGGACTTGGGGGCTTATAATAGCTATAATTCAGTTATGATTACCCTGCATCCCCTAAACCTGGAGCCCCAAACCCTGAACAATCCCTAAACCCCAAAGCCTAAATCCCAAACCCTAAACCCGAAGTCAATTGAACCTCCAAGTAAGTCCAGGACTTGCGTCGCATGGATCACCCCGTAGGACCTTGGCAAGCTCTGCAAGGCCTCAGGTTTCGGGTTTAAGGTTGAGGGTTGAGGGTTTGGGGTTTCTGAGTATGTATTACCCAGAAAGTCCAATGCCCCTCATTGGGGAACATATCTTACATCACATTAGGGATCCTGGTATCATGTTGGGGTATATTCCCTAATTAAGGGGTTAGGGTTTATGGTTTCGGAGTTGAGTGTCTAGGGTAATATAGGGACCTAAATAATTACCAATATTATGGTTCTATACCCTTTCCGCAGTTCTACTATAGGGTACTGGAATGGGCTTTAAAATTATACTTGAGATTATTTAGGCCCCTGTAGTAGACTTTGAGGGTTTTAGACTGTAGGTTTTCTAATTTGGGGTTCGAGGTTGGGCTTTAGGGTAGGTTGGGCTTTAGGGTTTAGGGTCCAAGAATGTAGGGTTGGGGCTTAGACTGCGGCGGGTGGTTAGCTAGCAACGATGGAGGATGTAGGGCGAAAGTTTTTGGGCATTTGGGGCTTCCAGTTCAGCATGAGTAGGGTGTAGGCCTTGGGGAGTTTGGGCTTTGGGTTGTTGGGGTTCGGATGCTTCGAGCTCGGTCAAGGGTTTCAGTGCAGGGCTTTGGGGCTTGGGTTGTTCTGGCAGTAGCTCCTTCAAGATGCACTGACGCCTTTTGGTTTACATGGGGGCTACATTTACTTAGGGTTTACCATGTCCCAGTACTCAAATGGTGGATAATTTGGGCCCAAATGGATTCCTATATAGGTACTTTGGGCCCAGATTCCCTGTTATCTAGGTACTTGGACCCTTTGGGTTTAGGGGGCCGGCAAAGTCGGAAGGTCATCTGGCCAAAGCCAATAACCCGAGCCAAAAGCTGACATTGTGCATCTATTGTAGGAATACCTGAATTCCGCCATGCCCTAGGGATTAGGGTTGGGGGTTAGAGTTAGGGAACGAGCTTTCAGAACCTTACTGGACCTTACTTGCCTACAAGAGGCACAAAGTTCAAAAGCTAGGGACTGCAAAATACTGGGAAATCATTCCCCAACCCTGATCCGTAGACCCTAAACCCTAGATAGTAGCAGTCAGGTCCATGAAGCCTCCTCCCAAGACTGAAAGCTGTGAGCCGGGAACCCTTGCCCCAAGTCTCATTGAGGTTGATGTCTTCTGTGACAAGATATCCTGAGGTTTAGGTCGCCTAGAACAGCATCCGTTACGGTTCTAGCTTCTAGGGTTTAGAGTATACTCGCCACAGGCCACCAGCAAAGACCAATGTCCTTCACACAGCAAGCCCCTGCTTCCGTAAATCGGCAAGTTTCTTCCTCTCACTCCAAATCCTGACTATGGGGTTTAGGGTTTAGGGTTCATGGTCCTCATAACCCCTACCCCTTGGCAACTTTTCCAAACCTTTCTTGTACTATAATCCCAAGGAACCAATCATACGAAATTAATACCTCCCACAATACAAGTCTTGCCATCCAGGACAGGCCAGGCAAGATATCCTTAACTTGGAGGAACTCCCGGCTGAAAAAGTTTTGACGCATTGGGTTTCCCTAAATCTAGGTGTACCTTTTTGGGAGTCCCTCAATCATAAGGATTAGAGTATCCCCTTCTTTGGGACACTACGTGTCCTCCAAAAATCCACCTGGAAACTGATGGACTCCTCACAGCAAGCCTCCGCAACTCCAAACTCCCTAAGACCTAAACCCAAACCTTCAACAAGCCCCCTGAAACCCCCTCAACCCCTATACCCTAAAACCCAAGACCCTAAGACCTGAACACTGAATCTACCAACTTTACCCCAGTTTCCATGTGATTTTCCATCTCCTTTTCAGTTGACTCTCCATTATTCTAGTATACCTCTAAACCTCCCTTAAGCCCAAACTCTGAACCCTGAACCCTACGTATCCCCAAGCCCAAGCCCTAAACCCTAAACACTACATGAACACTACATGAGCCATAGTCCAAACTCCTTAAAGGGTGGTTATATTGGGGATAATATAGGGGACTAGTATAAGGGTTACCAAGGGGGATACTAGGAGTTTAGACTATAGCTCACATATCCCTAAGCCCACACCCTAAAGGCCCCTACGTTGCCCACGTCTTTTTCGCAGGGAGATGGCAAGTTCTGCGGCCTTGGGTCGGTACTGCTTCCATTGGGTGGCTGAAGCCATCGAATGGTGCGAGAATTGCCGGTGCCCGGCTCAGTGAAATGGTGTCAGGATTTGAGGTTTCAGTGTTGGGGATTGAGGGTTTGGGGCTTATATATGTTTGTGGGGTTGAAGATGCTTGGATCTAGAGAGTTAGGGCTTAGGGTTGTAGGGTTTAGGGTGTAGGGGTTTCAAGATGTCAGGGTTTTTAGGGTTGAGTTGCTGGGCTAGGACTGTGGTTGGGGGGTTGAAGTTAAGTGATTCCGTGTATGCAGGATAGGAGGCAAATTGAGGAGGCATGATCGTGTTGTCGATGGAAGCTTGTCTAATTTTACTTCGCAAAACCTAGGTAGTTGAGTAGTTCAGCTTGTCAACCTTATGCTTGTTCAAAACAATTCCCTAAATTTCCTAAACGCTGCAGCCCAGAACCTAAACATTCCTAAGCCTTGAGCCCTAACCCCTTCAAACCTAAACCTTAACTCCCCTCAAAACCCCAACCTCTAACCCCAAACCCGAAATCAGAATCCCTAAACCCTCACGCCTAAACCCCTTACCAACTTTGCGCATTGCAGGGAGCCAGAGCGCGTGGGGTTCCTGGCAGATATCGTGAAGAGCCATCACTTCGGGGGGCTCTGTATGACAGCTCCTCGGTTGAGAAGGTAAAAAAGGTTCAGGGTTTAGGGTTGAGAGTGTTGAGAAGGTCCATATAGGTCTTAGGTTTTAATGGGTTAGGGTTTCAGGGTTTAAGGGGTTGTAGGATTTCAGGGTTTAAGGAGTTGTAGGGTTTCAGGGTTTAAGGGGTTGTGAGGTTTCGGGGCTTAAGGGCTTGTAGGGTTTAAGGTTTAGGCTATGGCAGCTCCTCAGGTCTGGCCAAATCAGAGCAGTTCAGCTGTTTCGCGCTGATAGGGTTTGATGGTTTAGGGTTTGGTACTTACCTGAACCCCGAAAGTATGTAGAATAGCGGCCTTGTTGGCTAATTTTAGAGGTTTCCAGCTATTCTTTTACCTACTTTAGGGGACCCTAAACCCTAAACCCTGGGTTGAAGGGTGGTTGATGGAGGCAAGTCTGGCACATAAGTTTTTTTTTCAGGTGCCCAGCGTTTATTAAAGCAAGGCCAGTGGGATGGAAAGGGGAATTTTGGGCATCAAAGGGTTGTTCTTTCTGATGTATGTAGTTCCTGTTTTTGGTATAGTTCTGTTGGTGAGCCATGCTTTTGTGCTAAATACTGTGGATTCATACGATCATTTCCTTGCAGAGATTTTATTCCGAAAGCTCCGCGCAGCGGGTGAATACTTGAGGCTGCCCTAGAGTGCTCTAAGAGTCCTTGCTGTTGCTGCACATCAGTGCTTCATTTCGGGTTGTATGGAGAGCTCCCTTAATCAAAGGCTTCCAGAACTTGTGTGGTGACGGAATCTGCCTTCAGGTGATTCTCTTGAATTCCATCGTGATCTCCTACACGCGCCTCTGCAAGTCATGGACACAATCTATGGGGATGTAAAGGGGTATACAGGAATATATAAGGATGTTATTCCCAATAGTGGAGAACCAAATGGACAAGACCATGAAATAACATGGAACTTGGCAACATGACTGGGTTTGTAGGGTTGATACTTTTGAAAACCTTGCACACTCCCAAGTATCTAAAGCCAAAGAATTATGGTGCTATAGTAGACTTAGGATCAGATTTTGCAGCAATGTTATCACCTATGCTGCTACCGGCCTAGACACAAATAGCTAACGGCTAACGTAGAAGCATAACATACACTGCAGTGGCAGCAGCCAGGGCATCTGATGCTTCTCGCGTGTCGCTGGGTTTCGTATGTCAAGCAAGAGTTGTAATCTAATAAGGTTGATGAGGGAGAAGCGGGGACGCATAGAGTCAGGGGCACGATGGATCAATGATGGGCCCTCGCAGTGAAGACCTGATGGCAAGAGTGTGATAGAAAGTGCCATATACATGGGAGCTTTCATTTTTGGAGGGGGGACCGAAATTCTCAGAAGCAATGTATGTAGAAGCCTGATAGCTTGCCAATATTGTTACTTTAGAGTCCTTGTAGAGCTGTTGTAGGATATGACCCCAAACCCAGTTCTTGTTATTTTGGTCCTGCATTACTCACATCCTGACCCTCCAAGTGGGGGGGGCATCTCAACAGCCAAGGTCGGATTACGAAATGCGAAGTCCCGGCCCTTTGGTGGAATCAGATCACTTCTTAGGTTTCAGGACTTGGGGTTTAGTCACACATTCTTAACCCCTACTAGCTGCCTAGTCCAAGGATGAAGCCCAGTCACCCTCCTTGTTGACCTACTTTCGGCACTCATTTCCCCTGACATGCCAAACAGGGTTTCATTCGGTGCTTGCCATTTGCTATTGCAAAAACTAGTACTATATGACGAATACTACTAAGATAGTATTATTGGTACTACTATTCTGATGCGTATCATTGCTACGATCAGAATTCTTGCTACCCTTGTTATTCTTTGTACTGTTACTATGACTCAGCATCCAAAGCTGAAGATAATGTTAAGGTTTTGGGTCTTCCGGACAAGGCATTTCTGAGGACTCCCTTAAAAGCAAATTCTAACCCTCGGCTCCTTCACCCAACAGCCTATACTTTGGGCTGGTGTCCCGTCCGTGATTAGTCATGCAGTAGGAAGAATTTCGGACTAAAGTACGGTGATTGTTATCCTTTGTGGTCCCTTTGAACGGGCATGGCCTTCCAGAACCTACCCTGCGCTTAGATGTGCTTAGCGCAGATCATGAGCTGCAGGCTCTCCAACTCCGTATGCGCTCATGATGCGCCTTGGCTGTTTTCGAGGCTTTTGGCTGCTTCCCAGGCTTTGCACGAGGCTTTTGGCTGCTTCCCAGGCTTTGCACGCATGAGCTTGAGTTGATAATGTGCTTCGTGGCAGCAGAAGTTGGGCCAAGATGAAACTCAGGCCCAACAAAATTAGGATGCTCGCGGTCTTTTTGAGCTTACTTGCGTGCGTTCTCTCCAGCTGTATTGCCGGAGAGGGGTTCACCCATCGGTTCTTGGATTTTGGGTTTCTACTGAGCACATGAATTTGAAATTGTACCTAAATGTCTTGAGCCCCATGAATGCTGCACCCTTGCGGGACTACATTCTGAATTGGAGTTGGGTGTACTGCTATGCCTTTCACAGATCCACCGGACACCCAAACATGAAGAGCAAAGGCTTCCCTTGGACCTCGCATTCTTGTTGCAATCATCCGATGCAAAATTCTGAAATGGGCTCAAGATTCAAGACCAGAAGCTGTTCAATAAGCAGCAAGCCCTCATGTGCTCAAACTTGGCATCTGTACGAAGCCCAGCCTATGCTGCCAATGGACCATTTTTTTTTTAACTTGCTTTTGTCGTACGTACTTATGTTCCCCGTATCACTGGCATATAAGGTAAGTTTCCCCAAATAAAGGGACTCCAGTATAGACCCCAAAATACTATGATCCTTATTGTGGGCCCTAATTTGGGAAATCCTAAACCCTAAACCATGTTCTTTGGGATGCTTTGAGAGTGCCCCCCCAAAAAGGTACCCACACAAACTTGAGGCACCGGATCAGTTTTGCGTGCTAAGCCTACCATGGCAGTACAGAAGCCCCAACACTGAGGAACTTAATTTAAGCTACGAAAATATGGGTATATTATAGTACCTTCAGCACCCCAGAAAAGGCCTACCATAGCTCGGGGCCCAACAACCATGCACGCGCCAGCCTGCCGTGGAGGATTGAGTTGGGATTTGCTTTCTTCTACGCTATCGAGATCATTCTGAAACTGGTCCGCTTCCCAGTTTCTGTGGGGTTTTCAGCGGGTCCTTACCCTGGGAAGGAGGCAAAGTACTGCAGCAGATTCCGCAAGCAGTTGTAGGATTCAACCCGCGCACCTCTTTTCTTTGCCTCAGATCTCTGCTATTTGCATAGAAATTTTCCTGAGTTCTTGTTATCGGAGCTTTTACCCTTCTGTCTCAATGCCTTTTGTCCCGCAGGGGGACTGTTCCAAAGGTCCTTATCAGGAAGGGACCGAGTAATAGATTTGCCCTAAAAGAAATCCTTACCAATCACCTTGCAGCCGTTTTGGGTTCAGGTATTTTGAGCAACTACCATACCTTCCGCCTACCAAACCCCAAACCCTAAAGCTAAACCCAGGTAAACCTGAAACCCCTTCTCAAATACTAACTTCGGCACAGTTGTCTCAATTATCTAAAATCCTGTTTACACCGCCCAACGATCCCATGCATCATGTCGTATTTTCACCTGGAGTAAAAGATAGAGTCAAGTACACCAAGGGATTGAGAAGGGGACACCCACAACGTTATTGGCTAGAACTTAATACCGAAATTGCACTTCCAGTCCTTAAAGCCTATGCGGAGTACAACGCCTTAGAATACCGTCATGATATTCTAGGCATAAGACAGATGTTAAATAATTCCCCAGGGTTCCGTAAGTATCTGGAGACTGCGCCCACGCGCCAAAAAGGCCTTCTTGCACGACACGTTCAAGCATTGGGATGCGCATGGCAGCCGTAAAAAGCTAAACCCTAAACCCGGAGCTGTAACTCCTGTAAAGTCCTACCGGCTACCGCGGTCGTACCTTTATTCCCATAAACCTGACAGAGGCCTTATAGAGCCCATCCTATTCAAAACCCTAGGTAGATGTTGGATAACTAGATAACCCCCAAATCCCATAGCTCTAAACCCTACACTTTTTACGTCAGTCCCAAACCAAACGCTAAATACCCTGCCTGGGTGAGGCTTTGGGATGTTCAAATATTCTCCCTTTTTGGTTTCAGAAAGACCCTGTATGAGCTAGAGTCTTAAATCTTTACAAAGGTTTATACAGGGGATCATATAGGGACTATTATAGGGGCTATTGAGGGGGATGCTAGGAGTTTAGACTAACATTTTTCAAAGGGCCCTAAAGGCCAGCCGAGTTGCTAGGAAAAATACTCAAGTGACAGCCAGTGCAGCCTGTATTCGCTGACCTCAGCCTCAGGTCCCCACATCAAATCTCAGGTTTGTGGTCAAGTAGTACCAAAGGCCATTCAGACTACATTAGTTGGGACCTGGAACCCATTATTCGAGTGTTTGAAGAACCCTTATGGTCCAGGTTTAGGGTTCAGGATATAGATTACACGTGTGTTTCGTAACGCACCTACCTGGCGAAACACCGGAAGAGCCTCAACTGTACCGTGTTTGCAACCTTCTGAGGCCGTGCATCGCTCCTCGGCAGAAAGGTTTTAGGTCGAGGCTTCAGGGTTTCAGGGCTTAGGGTTTCCATCACATGAGTAGTATTTTATTTGGGGATACTATGGTACCCATTATAGAGTAAGATTATATCCTCCTTTTGGGGTCTACTTTTTTATATAAGGAATATAATCTTACTAGGTTCAACCACCAAAAAAACACTACTCACATGACAGTTTGTTAGGTTCATGGGTCCCTCTGCTACCCCGCCTATACTGCCCTCCTAGGTTCCATCTTAATTGCCGTAATTCGGCTCAATTGTAGATAGCCTTGATAGAGGAGGACCTTGGGGGGGGGGGAGGGGTAGGGGGACCTAGGTGAGGTTCTACTTTTCAGGTTAAGGGGCTAGCTCCAAGAGACAAACATTAGGTACACCAGTAACATCCA